CCCCCCCCCCCCGCCTGCTCTCCCTGGAGTTGGGCAAAAGAAATTGAGAGTAAGTGTTCATATTATTAAAGTATTTTGATTTCATGGAAATACATCCACGGTGTGGTGTCTTTGATTAACCAGTTCCCCTTGTTGATTTTAAATGCCTTAATATATTCAAGATTTCTTCACATCCAACTTTTCAGAATCATGTCTTCTGTAAGGTAAAATAAACTTATCTCTTTGGGGCTATGCTGGGATGAAAGGAAATTCAGAGTGAGCTCACAGATCGATCTTGCCGGAATAAATATTTTTAAATTCTTTTTCTTTTTTAGAGTGAAATAACTTCTCATTCAAGGAAGCCAGTTAAAATTGATGTTTTGTTTTCATTCCCTACCAATAACAACTGTCAATGAGTGAAAAAAGTCATGTTAAAACATTTGGCATTTGGGGGAGTACTTTCAGTTTGATTAATACACTGCTTATTTCTTAAAATACCTTACTTAAGAATAAACCTGTAAAAAAAATAGTTTTACAAAAACAGAAAGAAAGAAAGAAACCTGTGTGTATAGGGGTAGTGATGACGTAGGGAATCTCAGGTGACAACATCCCACGTCTCAGGGCGGAGCTCAAATGTCATCTCCAAGACGCCTTTCTTGGGCCAGCCAGCTGCAGCCCCTCCTTTAGGCACCCAGGGCCCTGGGCCATCGCCTCGCAGCTCTTACTGAATTGAAGTGCTTGCCGCTTGCCTGCCCCACCTCACCATAGGTTGAGCTCTTCCAGGTCAACAACAGCCTGTTTTCATCTTTCTAGTCCTATGATTTGTTGGGTGTTTATTAGATGAGCTTTGTCTCTGGTCCCAGTTCAGAGCATTTAAAGGGAAATTGACCTAAAGTGAGGCCTTTTATGCAGGTACCTGCAGGCAGTAAGTTATCCTACCCTGCTCTGCTGCTCTTTCCGCTCATACCCTTAATCTTAGTGCTTCCCCTCACCTGCTCCCTCCGGTGTTGGGCAAGGCAGTTCCACTCTGGGCATCCCAAGTTAAAACTGGGAATCCAGTGTTCCAGAGAATCCATACTGTGAGTCACATGGCAGGACTGTAAGCCTGTGCATTCCGGTTTAAATAAGTGTAAAGACTGGGGGTTAGTTGAACCAGCTTGGACAATGTGTTTCTAAATATTTGGCTTATACACTCGCTTTTGAAACACAACCCACCCTTAAGTTGAGAACCTCCTGTAAATTCTTTTTCAGCCCACTAGAACAATATTCATTTTCCAATATTTTTGGTAGATATTTATGCCATTAAAGAAACCCTGCTGAATAGTATAGCTGCTAGGTTGCTCCCTAGTGTTGTGTAGGGGTAATAAATTGTGCAGTTGGACTGTGTAGCTCTGCACGAAGAGAGGGCTTTGCTGCTGCCATTTTCACTACTTGCTTTTTGAAACTAGGTTCTCTTTTGTGGCCAGGCAGCTGACCTTCCTCACCTTTCTGATACCAGCATCTCACAGAGAACTGGTATTATCAGTGGTGTTTCCAGCAGGTGGCGCTCTAACAAATACAGTGTAAAAAAGACCTGCGACAAACAATCTTTCATTTTATGGGGCCAACATAGCGTCCTGTTAAATCGAAGTGTTTTGTTTTAAAACAGGGTGTTATGACTGTCCTAGGCAGGGATCGCCCTTGGGGTTAACAGATGAAAGATGAAGGCCTCTGAGGACAAGTGGATGCATCCTTCCTTGCGGGTCACACGGTTGGTGGCCAAGTTGAAAATAGAATCCAGGATTCCTTTCAGTTTAGCAGCTTAGAGTTCGATGCTGCTTCTCCGAAACGGAATTCTAGGCGCCCTGGTTCTCGGGGAGCTGCTGGGCCAGCGAATGTGAGTGCATCTCTAGTGGAGGAATCGGGTAGGTTTTCGTGTCAAAGCCGGCTTGGTAGTGCGGTTTTCTCTGCAGCCCTGGAGCCTGCCCTTTTAAGAGGCTGTCCACACTCATCTCTGTGAGGTCTGATGTATGCCTAGTCACGGTTCCCGTTTCTGTCACTATGGGATGGGCCGTTTTCATCTACATTTAATCACTTAGTATCTGGACATAGCCTCAGCCCTCATAAGATGTCAATAAATCAGGGAAATTCAGCAGATAGCCACTTAGCTGATTAAAAGGCAAGAGATTTATGAGGAAATTAGGTAATGCTGAACATGCAGTTCTCCGGCAGCCTGATAAAGGGTGTCTGGAGAAGCCTGGCCATGTTTAAGCGGCACATCAGGGCGGGTGCAGCCTCTCCAGAACAGCACAATTTTACCTGTAGGATTTAGTGGTCCAAAATTTCTTCTCCCAATCTGTCATCATGCACTTTATTCCTTGGTTTAATTGTCGCCCTCTTCTAGCAATTTTAATTTAAAGTGTAAATACTTTTGGAGAAGGAAATTTAGATTGAAAAGGGGAGAGCAGTGATACCAAAANGGGAGAGAAGTGATACCAAAAAAAAAGGGAGAACCATTTGCACAATTATTGGCTTCAGTTGAGCATAACAAGCATTTAGATGGTGCCATATAATCACCATTCATTCAACTATGGGTATTCAGGGCCTGCTCGATGGGGAGGTCAAGGTTCCTGATACAAGGTGTGATGTATAGGACTCCCAGCGCTAGTAGCTGGAGTTTCCACGCAGAGGCCCACCTTCCCTGATTTTGGAGGTTTCTTTCTGCCTGGTGACTGTGTTTTTCCATTTTTGCTTGAGTATTTCACATTCTTCCCNCTGTGTTTTTCCACTTTTGCTTGAGTATTTCACATTCTTCTTGATTCCTATTCTGACTCTGTCCTTGCGATCCCCTGTGGGACCTTATCCAGCTTGCTAGGGCAGTGCATGCACCTTTACATGGGGACACACACACTGTCACCATCATCCCCTCCCCTCTGCCCCCAACATCTTATTTCTCCAGAAATTGCTGCCGTCGATAGGACTGATTGCAGCAGCATCGTAGAATCTACCCCACCCCACAAACATCTAGAGCATTCCTCTAGAACTTCATGTCCCCAGTCCACCTGTTGGATTGTGTGTATGTGGCACCTTGAGTCGGACACAATTGATGTACAACATTTATTTGAGCCCTGCTGTCAGTTTGGAGGCTTGGACGGGAGGGGGAGGGCCAAGGCCCGATGCCTGATCAGCTAACTAACGTGCNGTTGGATTGTGTGTATGTGGCACCTTGAGTCGGACACAATTGATGTACAACATTTATTTGAGCCCTGCTGTCAGTTTGGAGGCTTGGACGGGAGGGGAGGGCCAAGGCCCAATGCCTGATTTGCTAACTGAAGTGTGAGACCTTCCAGAGCAGGGGCATGTGGCTTGGTTGAGAGCCAGACTTGGCTGGTCAGCACAGTCTACTGTCTTGAGAACTCTTCGGTCATGATGTAGGGATATGGTTCAAGCCCACGTGTCCTTTTGGCGAGCAGAGCGGGAGAACTCAAGGCCAGGCCAAAGGACACAGTCTGGGAGATTGTTTGCAGAGAGCAGGGCACTCTAATTGCCCGGAGTTCAGTGGGTTCATGCTAATCCAGGAAGAAGGCTGGCGAGGTTATGGGAGGGCGCCCAAGTAGGTCTCCAAGACGGGGATGCGTGGGGCAGTGAGAAGAAAGGGGAAGGCGAGTCCTAGGCCCGTGGTATGAGCTCAAGAAAGGTAACGGGGGGCACCAAAGACAGACAACGCCATTTAGCCCCTGACCATAGGCCTGTGCCCTTGGAATATTCTTTAACCTTCTAAAATGGATATTTCTCCAACTCACTATCCCGCTGTTGCCTCATGTTCAGCAAGCTGCACTGAAGCCCATTCGTGGTTTCTATCCCTTCACGCCCTCCATCACCTGCTCTCCCCTCTGAGTTTCCACTTCTGACTTTCATATTCTATTATAAAAGCCCATGTTTTATTAGTGCTGCGCATAACCTTTGAAGTTACGCTGCATTGATTCCTCACCCTTCACATCCAGCAGGGCACAAATGTCTTAATTCTTTGGTGACATCTTTCATGGTGGTCTGTCTGTCTCTTTCTCTTTGTTTTCACATCAGCGTAAAGCCTTTTTTACTCTTGCTTGGACCAAGCCTATAGCCATCTCTCTTGAGTCTCTGTC